TTTTTTTTTTTTTTTTTTTTTTTTGCTATGTGTGGTATTGGGGATTGAACCCAGTGCCTTCTCACTCAGCTGCATCCCAAGCCCCACACCTTTTTTTTTGAGACAGGGTCTAAGTTCCCTAGTCCGGGCTAGAACATGTGATCCTCCTGCATCAGTCTCCCAGGAGTGCTGGGATTATAAGCATATAGCGCCAGCTTATTTCCAGACTCTTAAGTAAAATCACTAAACGAGTAAAATGAAATATTCATAGTGATGTATAATAGCTTCATCCTGGATTTACAGCTGTGTTCAGTCATTCCGTAAATACTTGATTGTTCACATGTACTACATGGTCTCTTGGACTTCGTCTATGTTACTGACCAACCCAAGAAAAATTATTTTTATTAAGATATGATAAACTCCCTCCTAGAGCCTTCCAGCGAAGCCAGGGAAGATGGCCAAAAAGCTTAATATGTGAGGAAAATGGTAGTCTGTTAGAATTTTCAGAAAAGTCCACTTGGGTCAGGGAACTGGAAGCACTGGGGGTTGAGATTCAGGCTGCTATTTGAATACAGTGGTGTATGGGTCAGGGTTTTCTGGAAACATGAACGGGTCTTAGAAAAAATGACTCACGTGATTTTGGTGGCACAGAGGTCCCAGGATGGGCCGTTTGCAAGCTAGAGACCCTGGGATCCTATTAGTGTGGCTCGGTCCATGTGCAGAGACCTCAGAACCAGGAAGGCCAGTGGTACATCTTTTGGTCTGAGTCACAGGCCTGCTGAGGTATTAGTTCTGGAATCCAAAAGCTAGAAAGCCTGGAGTGCTCTACAAGGCAGCAGAACAAGTCTCTCTTGGCACCTTCTCTGTGCAGTCTCCGTGGGCCCTCAGCATGGTGCCCACCCATGCTCCGAATCACAGGCCATCTCCTCTGGAAACATCCTCCCAGACATACCCCAAATAATGCTTTACCAGGAGTTTAGGTGCAGAATTCTTTAATCTAGTCAAATTGATACCTACCTTAACCATCACAGGGTAGTTTGGGAAAGTGTGTTGGTTACATTTGTAGAAGACCTTGAAGGAGGTAAGAGTTCGTCTTGCAATAATTTGGGTTAAGGTGGAATGAAGGTCAAAGGAACACATGTTGCTTGGTAAATATCAAGACCAGCAAGAGGCCAGTAGGGCTGGGAGAGGAGGAGGAGAGAGTGAGCTCCAGGAAGTGGCATGGCAGATACAGAGGCCTCTCGGCCACTAGAAAGAAGCCCCTTTACTTTAAGGAAAGTCAGAGTAAGATTTCGAGCAAAACTGTAAGCTTACAACTTATGTTTGAGAGTAAGAACAGGTTTCTGGGTGAGGATCTACCGCAGGGAGGCTCTCACAGCAGTTCACCTGAGATTATGGTGGGTAATAGCGTGAAGGGAAGCAACTGAGCCCCAGCATTGCTTTGAACGTGGAGACGCAGCATTTGCTGATAGCTAAGATGCAGTGTGAGAGACAGGAGTGGAGACCCGTGTCTGGATGTTTGGCGTGAGCACTTGTAGGAGGAAATGTGGTGAGAAGAACAGATTTGGGGTAGGGATCAGGTGGAATCAGGAGCTCAGTTTTAGACATGGACTTGGAGATGTCCATCGGGTAGCAGAGAGCTGAGTGAGTGAGGTATTCAGGAGAGAGGGCTGGGCTGAAGTTGGGAACTTAGGAGTATGTACACGTGTCACCGAATGTCGTGAAGCTGGAGATCTCCAAGAAACTGAGTGTGGGTACATGAGAAAGGAGGGCCAAGGACCATTACGGGACACCCTACAGAAAGACCAGGACAGTCAACCAGGAGCGTGGAACTGGTCATTGGGTTTGGCAACATGGAAATTATCAGTGAGGACACTTGCAGCAGTGGTAGAGCAGAAGCCTGATCAGCGTGGCATTGAGAAAGAACAGGAAGACTGGAGGTGGCACCATAAATTCCTCTGTGGGGAGACAGGGGTGAGATGATGGGGAAGCAGCACTGAAAGGTTTTTTTCTTCTTGTCATGTGTCACTTTTTTAAAAAGAGACTTTGGAGCAGTGTAGATTTAGGGCAGAAGTAAGCAGAAGGTCCAGACTCCTCACGTATCCCCTGCTCCTGCTCATATAGCCTCCCCACTGTCAGCACCTGCATGGCAGATGCACTACCCCACCAGAGACATGCATCTTTTAAAGATGGTGCACCTCTACCAGCATGTTTTACATGCTAGTTACAATAATCAAGTAGCAAGACACTGTAAGAAGTAGGAGTACTGATGGGAGAGTCTGTGTGCCATGATAGAAAAGCTGTCTTGTTTTTAATTTGGAAGACATTGGTTAAGTTAGTTTTTGTTGTTGTTGTTGTTGTTTTGGTACCCGGAATCAAACTCAGGGCCTTGTGCTTGCAAGGCAGGTGACAGCACCACTGAGCTAAATCCCTGGCCCGAGTTAGTTGTTTTTATATACTTTGGAAACATTTTACACAGTTATATTATACATTTGATTCTTTTCAAGATGCTTCACAAATACTTTAAAAAATAAGTTGTCTTTTCATGTTACCACTGCAGTGATCAGATAATAAGTTATTACTGTTTCATAACAGTTCTGGTTTAATAACCAGAATGGAATTTTGGATAATTTTCATGAACGTGCTGATTTTTTTCCTATCCTCAGGTATTTGGTTATGGAGTTAATGGATGCTAATTTGTGTCAGGTTATTCATATGGAATTGGACCATGAAAGAATGTCCTACCTGCTGTACCAGATGCTTTGTGGTATTAAACATCTGCATTCAGCTGGTATAATTCATAGAGTAAGTAATGACATCATAATTCTATTTTATTACTATTTTTTTATTTTTTTGGTACTTGGGATCAAACTCAGGCCCTTGTGCTTGCGAGGCAGGTGGCAGGCAGGCGGCAGGCAGGTGGCAAAACCACTGAGCTAAATCCCCAGCCCCATCATCTTTTTGTCGTTGTTGTTGTTGTTTTTGTTTTGTTTTGTTTTGTTTTTGGTACCAGGAATTGAACTCAAGTCCTTGCACTTGCAAGGCAGACCACCGAACGGCTGAGCTAAATCCCCGGCCTGTTGTTGTTTTTTTGAGACAGGCTCTCACTATGTAGTGACACTGACCTGGAACTCACTATGTTGCCCAGGCTGGTCTGGAACTCACAGCGATCCTCCTGCCTCAGCCTCCCAAGTGCTGGGATTCCCATAATCTTATTTTTAAAATAACTCATTTGGTTATCATAATCTGCTAGGTCCAAGAGAAACAAATCAAAATTTAGCATGGTTAAAACTCCAATTAAACTAAATTATGTTGTATTTCAAAATACTGTTTGGATCAGAGCACATCTGTGGCTTGTGTGAGCCCCAGAGAGCTGCTGAGGATGTGGGTGAGGGAGCCGACACATGCCTCCTGCGTCTCAGACTGGTACTGCAGCAAAATGCCCTTTTAAGTTGTTTTTTTTAAGCTCTTCATGTTGAAGTAACATAAACTTAGGACAAAGAACTTTCATTTGCCATTTACCCAGATTCACCTGTTGTTAATAGTTTTACCATATTTGAAATCACTTTTTTAATGAACCAGGAATTTAGATTTGGGATGAGGAAAAGTTAGAGCCCAGAGAGTGTTGCCTGAACTATGATGAAGTAACATTCAAAAACCAAGGAGATACAATGTAATTCTCTAAGCTGCTTTCATAGCTTTTTATTATCATTTGACTGCTGTATAAGCAGAATGTGATGCAGTTTTTTTAAACACCTAAAATGTTGAGGAAGACTAGATGCAGACATAATATAATTTATTTGGAAATAAATATTCATGGCCTCCCCTAAATTATACTGCACTAATTTTACTGACAGTGGGCTCTACATTCTAACACTGACAAGTCTTCTTTGAGCTAAAATGTGTGGGAAAGAGACAAGGACAGTGAAGCCTTTTGAGATAGGAAAGTTAGATACAGTGCTATTGATTGATTCACATCTCTTAGGTGCCACAGAAGACCCCTCTCCCAGTGGCAGAGGCCAGAGGCCTGGTCCGCTCTCAGCCTCGCATCTGTGGTGCAAGGCCAGTGTTGGGCACTGCGCCCCTAGGGCGGTGGGTAGCAAATTTATGGCATGGATGCCTGAAGCCATCTGTCATCAATGAAAGCTCTGAGAGGTTCCCCTCCCTGCCCTAGGCCCTGGCCCCTCCTCACTTTCCAGGGCCAGCACACTGCTAATGAGCATGTTTGCTGACCAGTAAAGTGTAGCCTTTGCTGCTTCCCAGTGGTCAGTTAAAATGATGTGGATTCCCTTATTTCTGGCTCCCTAGAAGCAAGGTCTTTCAGGTTTGTTGTTGCTTTGTGATGCAGGGAATTGAACCTAGGGTCTTTCACATGCTGAGCAAGCACTGTACCACTAAGTTGTATCCCCTGCTTTTAGTATCTCTATATCATGAAATAATGTGTTTAGGTTTCTGTTCATTGATCCCTTATCTTTTTATGAGATATAATTCAGGCTGGCCTTGAACTTACTGTGTAGCCCAGATTGGCTTCAAATTCTTGGTAATTCTCCTGCCTCAGCCTCCAGAGTGCTAGGATTACAAGCACCCACCTCCTGCCCAGCCAACAACCTTTTATTTGAAGTGTTTGTTTTTAAGGGGAAGTAATAGTCTATGTTCTTATTGCTAATACAGACCTAAGTTTTCTGCCAGGTCTCTAAATCTTCTCTCACTGCATCCCGATGTCTCAGGTATTTCATCTTCTCAGCATATATCTCCTGGAGCTCAGTCTGGCTCCTCCTGGACCACTGCGCATGTGTCTGATGCAGAGGGGTTAAAGACATCCCCATCATTTTCCTGGGATTTCCTCTGCCTCCCTCCCACATTGGATTTCTCACTTTATGACCCTCCTTCTACTTTCCTTGTCTTTTTTCTCTCAGATTATTTTATCTTAGTGGGAAATACCTTCCTTAAAAAATGGTGTGGGAGAAAGTGATGGAAAGTCTTTGAGGCCTTCAGTGCCTGAGATCCTCTCCTGGCCTCTCCCTGATTCATGTTTTGACTGAACATAGAGTTCTTAGTTACAAATCATTTGCTTTCAGAGTGGTGCATGTAGTTAGTACCTCATCATAGTACGGAAACAACCGGAATAGTTCTGGAGCTTTCTAATGCCATGTTGCTGTGGTTGCCCTGGTTCTGGTTCTACCTCTGGGAAATTTTGAGATCTTTTTCTTATTCCTTTCCTTGATAAGGACTACTGTTTTCCATTAATCATGCTGGGTATATGGTCCTATATTGTAGAGACATTAGAGGAAGAAGTTTGCATTTTTTAGAATGGCCCTCTTTACTCTGTTCTTTATTCTTTCTTCCTCTGAAGCACAAGTTAGTTGGAACTCTTTTATCTTTGAGAGTTCTTTTTTCATAGCATTTTGTTCTTGTTACATAGATGCATTGTTGTCTCTGAGGGTCCATTTTTTGACATTTTTTTTCACTCGTGCATTGTTATCTCACCCAAGTTCCTTTTTTGCTGTGTTGGTCCCTCTCTGTCATGGGCAAGCTTTTCCCCAAATGTCTAGCCGTCCTTTGTGGACTGGTCATGTTCAGGTCTGAAGCATTACAGTGCTGAGTACGTGACTGGGAACTGTTAGTGAACGGGTCTCTCGAGGGGAGCAGGGAGCCGTGCGTGCCGCTGTTTGCGGGTCTTTCTCTAGAGCATGCGTCCCACGTTCCTGCAGAGCACGGAAGCCTCGCCGCTGGTGTTGTAGGGCTGGGGGCAGGGCAGAGCAGAGCCTCCCCTGAAGGGCTCTGTCTTCAGACTGGGCCCTCCGCTGCTTCCCTGTACCTCAGCTGTGCCTGTGCCCCTGAGTCAGAAAACTCAGTTTCGTTTTCTCTTGTTGATAGAAAAGCTGGAGTGAGGAAGCAGCGGGTGCCTAGCTTTGGGGTGAATATGGGAATCTGGATTATCTGTCTGCTCCTTAGCTGGACTTTAAATAACTAACTCCTCAGTTCTACCTCCTGACTTATCCTGCCTTCCACAGGACCCCAGGTCCACTCCCAAGCCTTTCCTAGAGATTGTCTTGCTTTGGACGTATGTAGAAGGTTGGGGTCTCCTCTCAGCTACATCATTCATTGCTTCTCTGCCACTTCTGTCACCGTAGAGCGCGGGGTTTTCCATTGAGAGCATCCACCATCGAAGATGGTTGAATGTGCAGATTTATTGGGAGGAGACCTGTTGGAGAAAGGCAGGAGTAAGTCAGAAGAGGCCGGTCTGCCTCCTTGGAAGAGGGCAGGTGGGAGGAAGCACAGGGAGATGGAGTTCTGGGACCCAGGGAGCTGTAAGAAAGCTTTGGCCCTGCCATGAACCAGAATGGGGCTGCCTCACTCCTTCCTTCCTGCCTGCCCAGTTAGTGGCTGAGACCAGCCTGGGGGAAGGCGCTGTTACGACCCGTCTGGTGGAGTCCGGAAGCAGCAGCTGAGGCTGTCCCTCGCTTGTGAGCGTTTCCGGGCCCTCCACAGTGCCCCGGCCCTCTGAGCTCTGCTTCCCACATGGCTGGGCAGCCGCTCTGCTTTGGTTCCATGGTGCCCCCTCCTCAAGGGGAGCTTAGAAGGCAGACATTGGTGGGAGAAGCCTGTCCTTGCAGTTCGTCTGAGAGCAACGCACGTGCTCATTCTCCTCCTCGATCCATTCTCTCGGTTATCCCCTTGGTAGGTGTCCACAGCCTATCTGGAATGTGACCCAAACCTGAGTCTAGCAGCGACAGGGGGCCATGTGGACTCCCCCAGTCTGTGACTTTGCGGCCGGATCTGGTATACTTGGCAGGTGGAATCACCCCCGCAGTTGTCGCAGTTGTTCCGAGGCCTGTGAGGTGAGGGTTATAAAGCTGAAGAAGACCATGCGGAAACCTGATACTGACCTCCTCACAAATGTTACTATACCCTGTGGGAATGAGGGGTGGATAGAGCAGATCACTCCCTGGCAGCATTAAGACCTTGGGTTGCAGGGCAGTGGTCTCTCTTGCATCTCACTTTAATTCATTCATCCAGGCCTAACCATCCAGTCATCCTGGGTGCAGCCGCTTGTGGGTACCTATGGTTGCCAGAGCAGCTTAGGAAAGCTTTGGTCTGGCATGGTGTTTGGGCAAATGTTGATTCTAAGAGAGGGCCAGAAACTGTTCGCACTGGTGCAGGACAGATAGCGAAACCGTCTCATAGTTTTGCCTTGGATGTGGTTAGCTCTCCCATCTCTGTCAGGATATGGCAGAAAGAGATCCAGACAGACTCCGTTTACTGCCTGATCCCCCAAGCAGAGGAGTTTTGGGATGCTGGGGCCTTCGGCTTTCAGCTTCCACTCAGATCCTGGGTCCATTCACCCTCAAAACGCCTGATGACTGTCCTTTCCTGGTATGTTACTGAGTCAGTACCTGGAGCCTGCGGGGAAGGACAGGGAAGTCTGGACAGTAGATGCTCATCATGGTGAGCAGGGCCCCTCCCTGAGTGCCTCTCCCATCAGTGGTCCGAATCTGGGAGTTGAAGGAGCAGTGGTGGCCGATCAGAGTGACCACATTCAGCCCTTTGCTCCTCTCTTCTTGCCCTGACCCTGCAGATGCTGCTGTCTAGTTGCCATTTTCACTGCCTGCTCTGGGTCAAGCCTGACCTGTGGGTCAAGGGTCTTTTGTAACTGGCATTTCTTTTTCTTTGTTTCTGATGGTTCTTAAGATTTGAAGAGGCAGAGGCAGAGCTGTCTTTACTGCCAAGATTTGGAATGCTGGCTGTGGTGCAGTGTGGTGGAGCTGACTGGTGAGCCTGCCGTGTGGGAGGGCCCTCGGGAGCCTCTGAGAGCTCTTGACCCATCTCCCACTGGCAGGTTGACCACCTGTCACAGACCTGTTTGTGATGCTTTGCACAGAGGGCCACAGGCAAGAGCAGCTGTCCACATCACAGGATCCCAGAATTGTGTTTTATTGTCCTAGTTTCCCAGCAGTGGGCAGTAAAGTATGTCCTTCCAACAAATTCAGCATATACCCGCAGCTTTCTGGCGGGTGGCACTGTCTGGTGGTGGGTTCATTTGGCTTCTTTGAGCTGCCACATGAAGATGGTTTCCACTGTTCCCCTCTGTCCTTGTTAGAACCAGTGTTGGTGTGGCCTCATTCATGTGGCTGGGCTGTGAATTGCAGGTCAGCTTGCACGCCACACCCTGCTATCACAGTCAGCCCTCTGTTCCCTGGGTTCTATACCTGCAGATGCAGCTCGATGCAGACCAAAGGTATTTGGAAAATTAAAATTATATCTGAGGTGGACATGTATGAACTTTATTCTTGTCATTACTCCTTAAATAACATAGTGTAAGAACTATTTACATAGCATTTGAGAGGAAAAAGAATTGAGATTAGTAAGCTTGGAATCCTCTTTCAAAGGGAGAGTCGGGGAACGCTGGACCTGTGTGGTCAGTGCGGTAGCTGCTAGCCATGTGAGGATGCTGAGTCCTCAGGGTGTGGCCATGGTTGACCTTCAGTGACTCAGTGCCATAAAAAGAGTGGAAAACAGCTCGTTAATAATTTTTTATTGGTTACATTCTAAAAGAATCCTGTGGACATACTGGGCTAGATGAACTATATTATTAAAAATAATTTCACCTCTTTTTACATGGCTACTAGAAACTGTCAATTACAGATGTCATTGGCATTGCACTGCTGCTGAGTGTGAGAACCTTGGTGGGGGGAAGGGTTAGAGGAGCTGAAGCAAGGCCAGTGAGAGGACAGAGTGGACAGTAACTGGGGTAGTGTGGGCAGGGTGCCCCGCAGGTTCTGGGAATGCGGTCTGTGCCTTTCAGGCTCCCAGGCCAGGGCCTAGAATGGGACAAAGGAGACCATCTGAATTTTAAGACTAGAATTTCCCGAAATTGGGGCCAGGGATTTAGCTCAGTGGTGCCGCCGCCTGCCTTGCAACCACAAGATCAAGTTCAATCCCCGGTACCAAAAAAAAAGGATTTTCCAAAATTATTCCCAAGTCCCAGAGCTCAGTTCTACCTGACCTACTCACAAACTTCAGAAGTCACCAACTTTACACCATTATCACTGTGAAACTGTGCCTTTGGCATGCTTTGGTTCATTTTATTTAAAAATAATTTTTTTCCTAGGATTTGAAGCCTAGCAACATTGTAGTAAAATCAGATTGTACCCTTAAGATCCTTGACTTTGGTCTGGCCCGGACGGCATGTACCAACTTTATGATGACCCCCTATGTGGTAACACGGTATTACCGTGCCCCTGAAGTCATCCTGGGCATGGGCTACAAAGAGAACGGTGAGTAGACAGAACTGCAGGAGCCTGTGGTGGTTAAGAGGGACTCTGGCAGTCGTCACTAGCTTCTGAACTGTGTGTTATACAGGTTATAATCCATAGATACAAAGTCATTCTGTATTTCCAGTGGCTAGTCATTCATTTCTAAATCAAAGTATAGCTTACAGGAAAGTGTACACCCTAGTGTGTAGCTTTCCCTGAGCACACCTGTATAACCAGCAGTACCCAGAACCTCCCTCTGGGCCCACAAGAGGGGCCATTATCACAATTTCCAGCCCTATAGAGTGGCCTTAGTAATTTGTAAAACTGATATAAATGGACTAATGCAACATATTGTCTTTCATATAAAATTAGTGTTTTTTAACATCAGAATGTCACTTATTCTGGCAATATCAAAGCTCTTTGAAACTTAGCCTTTAAAAATTTGTTGAAAAGAGCTATAGTACATTTACTTGTGAGCGGGGTTAAACAGAGTGAAAGCTTGCTTGAGTCTTCTGAAGTCAGTTTAGCTGTGAGTTTATCCTAACCTCTTATGACTGCTCCTGACCTGAGAGGCACAGCTCTGTGCTTCCTCAGACCCTGTTAACTTCTCCCCGCCCATACCCACAGTCAGGCAGCTCTGCCTGTGCTGGCTGAGGCATGGGGTTCCATTTTGGATCACTTGAGCAAGGCCTTGCCTGGAGCCCCGCCCAGCGAGGCCATCCGGGTCCAGCCCATTCCCCTCACAGCACTGCTGCCTCTCTGAAGTGGCAGCTTAGGAGTTGATCGTTCAGAAGCTAGTGGTGTCAGTATTTTACACATCTCCCTCTGAGGAGCTGCTGCATTGTCCTGGGTCTGGCCTTGTTTGGGAGGGGGACTGGAGAAAAGTGTGGGACTCTAGCTGGCATTTAATTACCTGGTGTTTGGTAGTGGACATCTGGTCTGTCGGGTGCATCATGGCAGAAATGGTCCTCCATAAAGTCCTGTTCCCAGGAAGAGACTGTATCCTTCACAGGGCGAGACCCAGCACCTGGCCCCAGAGGTTGGGGGTTGGATGGGCGTGAAAGCTTTGTGTTTATAGGCATTTCTTGTGTCTGGTTTTTGTTCTTTTTGTTTTGTTTTTGTTTTTAAGCTGTAAAGTATTAGAATCTTTGGCACTAAAACCCTAGATTGCTGCAAACTGAAGCTAAAATAGAGGTCAGCAATCATTTGTATCATGTAAAAAGTTCACCCTTAGCTGGCAATTTATTTCTCCATATTTGTGTGTTTAGTACACTGTTAGATTTCATTTTCCTCACCTTTGTTTTGTTCATGGCACTTCATAATTTTATCATTTCATTTTATTTTCAGTTGATATCTGGTCAGTGGGTTGCATCATGGGAGAGCTGGTGAAAGGTTGTGTGATATTCCAAGGCACTGACCGTATCCTTCCCCAGGACCTTGACCCTGGCCATGCTTTCCATACCAAGGGCAGCATGATCACACCTACTCACTTGAATGTGCAAAAGGAAAATGCTGTAATTCCATTGTTCCAAGGGGATGTTGTTACGTTTGTTAAATTAGTATTGCAAATCTGTTGGTTCACTTAACCTGTGATGATTTTGTTCAGACCTAAAGTTATGTTAAATTGAGCATGTTAGCTGTTAATTTTATAAAAAAATACCAGACATGCAGAAGAAATTATTTACTCTTTGATAAATGTGTTCTGATACTTAAATAAAAATAGCATCTTATAATTTAGTTCATTCTGTTACATTAGCTAGGAAAGGTGCCATCTTAATGTGTTTATATGATTTCATTAATGTATTCTGTTAGTTATTGGTATATCTTCTTTTCCCCTAGAGTGAGAACTGAAGCACATTGTGAGACCCACATGGAAATGGTTTAAATGAAAATTCAGAGGAATAATTTGTTACTCCACTGATAACTTTATACATTCAAAAAAAATTTGTGTCGGGTTATTTTATGACACACACTAGGGAAGTTAAATAGAAAATGCAAAAAATTAACTCATGTTGTGGTCCACAGAGATATTGATGATATTGTAGAAAGGAGGATCAGTAACATGAAAGTTATGACACCTTCTTTCCTCATAGTCATTTCCAAACATGGTTCTTCGCATAAACCCCTTTTCATTTGTACTCTAACCTCTTACTATTTTCGTTAGTCTCTGATTTTGTTTTTTGTTATGAAAGTTTAAAATGGCCTTTGTGGGCAGGTCAGTGGTTGCTTTTGTTTGTTTGTTTGTTTGTATGAGACAGGGTCTCACTATGTAATCAAGACTGACCTGGAACTCATTATGTAGCCCAGGCTGGTCGGTCTGGAACTCACAGTGATCCTCCTGCCTCAGCCTCCCGAGTGCTGGGATTCCAAGCATGCGCCACCACGCCCGGCGATGGTTGCTTTTAGAGGAATTTAAGATCTATCTATAGTCAGAGTTTTTTATGCATTTCATGACAATCTAGGGTTGTTTTTTTTTTTTTTTACAATTTAATGAAGTCCATTTTCTTACATAAATTCTTCACAATACAAACATAGGATGAAAATATTTTATTGTCATTTCGTTTACTTTCCTTTACATTTTCCGCATCACAGATTATACTTAGCTTTTTTGTGGCGGGGGCGGGGGAAGATAGGGCCTCCCTATGTAGTTCATCCGGACCTTGAGCTCACTGTATAGCCCAGGCTAGCCTGGAACTGAAGATCCTCCAGCTCCAGCCTCCTGAGTGCTGGGATTATAGGCCTGTACCACCAAGCCCAGGAAGCATTTTCCTTTGTTCTAATAAATTTTGTAGCAGTTTTCAGTAGCCTTATCTCAGATTCACTTGTTTCAAAATATAAATAAGGAGTCTTTATCTTTTGTGAAACACTCAGTTAAAAAGGGAAAAGTTTTGGTATTCTAAGGGTTAATTATTTACATATCTACTTAATATTCAGTTTGTGTCAATACTAACTCATTTTGTGACTTTTCTTACTCATTTAAAAATAAATATTTTTCCCAAAAGTACAAAAGTGAAAAATGTCGGTACTTTTAATAGTTTAAAATTCCTACTTTATATAATATATTGTAACATCAGTAATGAATGGTTTATGAATAAGATCACCTAATGTTTTGTTTTGTTTTGTTTGGTACCGGGGATCAAACTCAGATCCTTGCGCTTGCAAGTCAGGCAGCGGAACTGCTGAGCTGAATCCCCGGCCCAAACATTTAGAAAGATCACCTAATGTTATTCTCAAAATTCACACAAAGGCCAACATTTTCCAAAGAAAGTTTTGACAGCTTTTTCAAACATTGCACTGAAACTTCAGAGGATGGAAAAGGGTTCCAGAAGCCAGACTGAGGTTCTCAGAGATTTCCTTTAGATTTGGAGCCTTGGTAGTTAAGGAACTCTTGTCCCCACTCTGGCCTGTGAGAAAGAACACTTTAGCAAGGCCACCCTTAGCTACAATTAGACTCTTCTGTGGTGGCTTTGTGTTCCTGAAAAACCCAGGGCCTCTCTGAACCTTTTACAGTGAGCAACCAGTGATCTGCCCCAAGGTCGTAGGAGAAAGGACAGCGGTGTCTGCATACACCCTAAGTCCACCAGGCTTGGGGTGACCTTTCCCACCCGGCCCTCCTACATATAAGAATGATCCCATTACACGAATGTAGCACTAGCCCATTCTAGCCTCTGGGTGTGACCTAGGCTTTAAAAGGCCCATGGCAGCAGACCGAGGCAGGCAGATACGGGGACCCCTGCTCTCCAGTGGGAGATGGCAGAGGCTCCTTCCAGGCTAGAAAGAATGCAGGCAGGAGCAGGGCCTGAACTTTGCATCTGCCTTCAGGGAGCTTCGAGGGGATTTGGAGACCTCTTAGTACAAATGCCAAGTGTACAATTCAGGGAAGAGGGCTGGGGTGGAGAAGTGAACGTGGGGGTCATTGGTCTGTCAAGAGCGCTGAAGCCTTGAGCTGGTAGTGAGTGCTTGGACCGACAGGAAAGGACAAAGGACTGAGAACTGACCATCAGATGTGGTGGCCACTGGCAGCCTAGACGGGCAGTTTTCCTGGAGTTATGGGGATAAAGTCCAATGAGAGTCTGTTGAGAGAATGAGAGGCTGGACATTAGAGATACAAGTAGAGATAACTCTTTAAAGGAATTTCACGGCACACAGAAGAAGTGCAGTGATACCTGGTAAGGGCTGAGAGTTGTCAAAGGAAAGTGGCGGCTGTGTTGGTACAGGAGAGAAAAGCACCGTGTTTGAAGCTGATGGAGCACAGTGTGGGAGCTGTAGGAGTAAGCAGTGAGGGCAACAGGCTCTCGTGCTGAAGCAGGGGAGGATACAGCTGGGTGGCTTGGTTTGCCGGAAGTACCGAGTGTAAGTGGAGCACGGGTGCCGATGTGGGCATGTTGCGGGGTCTGTGGGACTCTTCATGGTAAGGGTGGGCATGGGGAAGAAATGCTGAAAATTCATGAGGAGAGAGAAATGGGATTTAAGGTTCACATTTTGGCTAAATATGTGTGTATCATTCCGATTTGGCAAACTCTTCAAAACAAATAAAGGAGCAGTGGTAGTGATTTCAGTCTGCCGTTTCCCAAGCAGGTCTTCTGAAGCGTAATGCTTTGGAAGAACTGAGGTCTTATGTTTGGGCCCTAGGTGATTTCACAGGAGTCGAAGTTCGTTTTCCTAAGATATGTCTCAGTCACTTCTTTGAGCTGCTTTTTGCATGATTTTTTTGCAGTTACATTGTCTTGCATAGCTGTTTATAGTTTCACTGTGACTTCCCACTCACATTGCCCCATCATGCCAAGCCTCATTGTGTGGGGTAGGCAGCGCTGGTATTACTGACATTGTATGAAGAAGGATATTGCCCCCCAAAAGATTGACTTCCCTATACCTTATGAGTAGCTAGTGCAGACTTCTAACCCATTTTATATCTTCAAAAGGAAATATAATACATGACTGTATGTTATAGGGAAGGTTAGAATGAATCAATGCCAAGTAGAACAGAGTGGTATCAGAGTTGTCATTGCTTAATTGAAAGCTGTTTTTAGGAAGGGGTATGGTTCCGTGAGAGGGAACTAGGCCAAGGGGGAGATGAGCCTGAGCTCAGGTTCCTGCCCTGCCCTCACCATGCCATACTTGGCCAGGCTGACTCACTGGAATTTGCTGGCCCAACTATAAAATGAGGAGGACACAGTTCTTTTGAGTTCCTCTGTCCTTTAGAGTTGGGAACCTTTAGTAGCTTCAGAAGGAAAATTGATTTCAATTTGCTTTAAATTTTTTTTTTAATTTCACATCTGATCATTTCTGTCATAGGTTTAGTCCCCTCATAATTTTATTTTGAACTAGAATAAGAAGGCATACAGACCTCATTTTGTTGACTTAATAAACTGTGGTTATAGTTTGTAAAGATACACAGTCTAACAGTTTTAAAAAGTGGTTTATTTGGAAACCGAAACCTTACTTGAGTATTATTTCACAATGCTGCTGCTGACCCAGTGGAGTGGGTCACTTATTTGTCCATAAGTATAAACATAATTTTTCTCAAATGGTGCTGTTACATGTAATATAAATAGAAGGCATTTCAGTTATATTTTCCTCAAGAGAACTCTTAGATATTGATCAGTGGAATAAAGTTATTGAGCAGCTGGGAACACCATCAGCAGAGTTCATGAAGAAACTTCAACCAACTGTGAGAAATTATGTAGAAAACCGACCAAAATATCCTGGAATCAGATTCGAAGAACTCTTTCCAGATTGGATATTCCCGTCAGAATCTGAACGAGACAAAATAAAAAGTAAGATATCCTTTTATTCTGGTACTGGTTTTCATAATCCAGGTGATACTTCTCTTTTTTATGTATATATTCTAAAATGTATAAACAAAATAGCTGAAACCCTGAAATAAAGCCAGCGGTAGGCTAGAAGGCTGATGTATGAAGGCATCATGACGAGAAAGTTTGAAGTCTTTCCCTAAATACAGTTTAGCTGAAGTCTCTGGCCAAAACTGAAATACTCAGAGTAGTTCTAAAGACTTGAATTACAATTAGAATTTTTTTAAAATTTCAGGTGTAAAGAACCCTTGAATAAAGATTCTAAAGATTCTAGAGTTAGGAACTATGATAGTAGTTCATTTGGGGGGGAAAAAAAAAAAGGTCCTCCCTACTCTTCTCCTGAACCCTTTACTAAAATGTGATTGCCTGATGAAAAACAGTAGATTTATTTCCCACCACAGCAAGGTAAGCTGTGCCTTCCTCGGAAAAGCCCTCGTCTGTCGTTTGCTGTGAAGTTAATTGCCAGAACCCAGATACGCCTCATATTTAACTAAGTTATTCAGTTTGTTGGGGCTTTTTCCTAACTACTTATCTCTATATTAAAACTAAAAGTGTGTGCTGCCTTCACTGTGCACGGGTAGGCAAAGGAGAGGCATCTGTGAAGTGTGTCACTCTGAGGAGTGTGAGAATGTCATGTGGTTTAGAAAGTCTGTTCTGATTTGATTTCGTGTGACATGAAAAGTGCTCCCCCACACTTCCTGCCCATACTCGGCAGCAGCAGCCTGAGCTCAGTACCCAGCCACTTCCTGCCATGTCCTCTGAGCCTGTGGCCCTTCCTGGACACCACTGTGAGGCTGCCTGGTGCCCACACCGGCCTGTACTCCCCTGCTCCCCTCTCATATTCAGGGCGCAAAACCACAGTTGAAAGCCTGGTTTGTCGTAGGAGTAGCCATTTCAACTTTGTCTTAAAAGTTACTAGAGTCGATATGGAAACTGTCAAATATTTTTCCAAGTTAATTTGTCTTTGTTCTATTTGTGCTATCACATTTAGTTCTTTCTTGTGTAATTGTCTTTGTTTCAGGTCAACAGCATTAGTGTGTTAATCTAGTATTTGCTTTCACTTAGCGAGTCAAGCCAGAGATCTGTTATCGAAAATGCTAGTGATCGATCCCGACAAGCGGATCTCCGTGGACGAAGCCCTGCGCCACCCCTACATCACTGTGTGGTATGACCCCGCTGAAGCAGAAGCGGTGAGTGTGGGTGTGGAGAAGCTTCATGTGCAAGGGCAGCGGTTACTCTCCTTGCTCTTCTGTTAGCCTTAATGGCTGTGTCAGGATAGCAAGTTGTCCATTTTAGGGCTGCTAATTACAGAAGAGGCCAAGGGCTGAGACCTGGACTCATACTTTTTTTGAGGCCCTTGCTTTTGGGGCTGTAGCTCTGAGGACCTCAGCAGAGAACATACTAACGCTGTGGAGATGTAATTGCCTTCATTTACACCAATGCTGATGTATAATGATAATTTATTTACTAAGCGTCTGTTCTGTGCCTGGCCCTGTGCCATAGGCCTTGGTTATACCCTTTTATGTAGGCCCCCAGCCAGAGAGGCTAAGCAGCTTGCTGGAAGTCCAGATGTGTTTATCCTTGTCTAAGGACCCCAGCACCCCAGTCCCCTGGTACGCATGCCATTAGCTGAGAGTGACACAGAACAGCAATGTGCTTGCTATGCTATGGGTGAAACACATTTTATATCTTAGCTACAGATCTGACCACCATTTTAAATATTGTCTGATATCCAAAAAATGGGATTTATAAGCAGCCTTTCAGAACAGTCCATTTTTGAGCTGGGGATTGGGCTTGGAAGTGCAAAAGTGAAGAAATAGAAACCTGAAGTTGTTGTGATATTACACCTCACACAGCTTTCACAGTGCCCAGTCCAGAGATCTCCAGGGAGCACTCTGGTTGTTAATTTTGTAATTATACTGGACAGATGTCTAGCATCTTGAGGTCATGTGATTATTAAGACTTTTACTAGTAGCTCTTTTGGGGGGGTTAATTTTTCCTTATTTTGATTCTGAAGCTGATACCATGTACACTTAGGATAAAAAAAATTCAATAAACCAAGTGTTAAGAAAACGAAATCCATTAGTACAGTAAAAGTTTTCTAAACACTGTTTGTTATCTTTACTTCATCTTTCATCATTCTTTGAAATATTGACTTCGCCTGTTGTTTAATTTTTAGCCACCACCTCAGATTTACGATGCCCAGTTGGAAGAAAGAGAACATGCAATTGAAGAGTGGAAAGGTAAAGGCAGCTTGATTTGCTCCTCCCTTAGGGCATTTCTTAAAATCTTGCAAAGCTGAGGCTCTGCATTCTTTTAATCCCTGCCCTTCCAGAATGGGCAACAAACACTGTCCTGCCCTTGCCCTCTTTCACCCTGTCCGGTAGAGAAAGAACAGGAGATGATGGTGTAAGGACCATGTCTGAAGTCAGACTGTTTGCGTCAGGGTAAAATATAAGGGCTTTTCACATAATTTTGCACTATCAAATGGTAGCCAACTTGTTCTTGTCAGTAAAAGTTGAGGGAAACTGAAATTGAAGGCGAGCTAAGACTTAAATGTGTGGATTCATTCTTACCCAGTCTAGAGGAGCTGATAGCCCATATGTGGGTGCTTGCTCCATTTGGAGAAGAACAAATAATCTTAGAAAGAAACACATTTCAGATGGCTTTGAGATACCTTGTCCCTTAGAAGTTTTCAGAGAGCCACTGTGTTTCTCTCTGTCTCGTTGTCTGTCTCTCTCTCTCTCTCTTTATCTGTAAAATCTCTATGTGAACTTAGAATAACCTACTTTTTTTTTTTTTTTTTTTTTTTTTTTTTTTTTTTTTTTTTTTTTTGGTACTGTAGATAGAACTCAGGACCTTGCACTTGCAAGGCAGGCGCAGTGCCATTGAGCTAAATCCCCAGTCCTAACCCTACATTTTTGGATGCCTTAATAGTTCCATTGAAAGACTGGGTATATAGTTCAGTTGTAGAGCTCTTGCCTAGCATGCACAAGATCCTGGGTACAATTCATAGCACTGCAAAAAAAAAAAAAAAGATATAATAGATCAAAATACAGGTGTTTCGGTCCAGGTAGAACTAAAGTAATAAATTTTTGTATATCATAATTCAAAATAACACATCACAGTGCGGTTGGAATGGTTCCAACTAGTTTGGAAGCAGAGTTTAGAGATACAAAGAAACTGACAGAGGATTTTAATGTACATTTCTGTTTGAAGAGCTGATTTACAAAGAAGTAATGGATTGGGAAGAAAGAAGCAAGAATGGTGTTGTAAAAGATCAACCTTCAGGTTAGTGATTGCTTTAATTGTGATTATATAATATTTTCTTTGCCTCTTCAACTTTATAAATGGCAGCAAAGTGTTAAGTACCTGCGTGGCCACCAGTGGATCGGAAAGCTGTTCCTGTGAAATGGCCTCCCCTTTTTGCTCTTCCTGGTGGTTTGGTGTTGGCAGCAGCGAACGTCTCACTGATGCTCCAGGAAGTGAACTATGTTTTAAACATTCTTGTTTCGTCCTTGGAACAACTGCTGCCAGCTCCGTTTATAGAAGAGGAAGTTGAACTTAAAGCTCTTTCGGTATGCGTGACCCTCTTCGTACTGGTCCCATCCAGTTGTTGGGTTTTTTTAAAAGAGCATTAATACAAATCCAGGTAGAATAGAATTTGGTTTTCAGTTGAGAAGATTAGTATAATTCTCCCATTTTTAAACTGGACCTACTCCATAAGAAGCCCATGACTGGACAGTCACGTCCTCCTGAGAGACAGTACTCTAGGATTAGTGGTGTTAACCTCTATCTGTAGGTTACTGAAGGAGACGCTTCAGTTATATTTCTTTTCTCACTCCTGCTTGAAATCATATACATGTAAAGACAGAACTTACTTCTTAGTCTTTATTTTGTATTCAACGGGAATACGTGTCAAGCTTCTGGAGGTTATATAATTTAAGCAAGAATTTAGGTGCTTCTTTTAACCAAGGACAAATTTAAAGCTGCAAGCACTGATCTTTGAGAGCTTGAAAGTTATTTTTGCTCAGACCGAACTAAAATGTGGTTAATAGGAAATGCAGTAGCTTCATTTGTCTTCAAAGACTAAAATGACAGTTTTCTAGGTTCATAAAACAAAAACTGAATGTATAAGTTTTCCCTTTTTGGTGTATAGTCTTTGTTTCAGAAAGTATTATTTTGAAAGCGTTATTTTGAATATTATTTTGAATGCTGATGTTTCTCCCCTAAATGTAGCACTTATAATTATAATGGATATATATGATGACACTTGATCCTATTTAAGCTTTAACTTCTTGTGCTACTGTTAGGATAAATTCAGCAATGTCATTTCAAGGCCTGTTTGAAATCAGCAGGTATTTTTAAAAGTAATTAGCAGGATTGTGTGTGACCACAAACATGCTTGGCCACTGGGTAGAGAAGGTGCGTGTCATGGGGATAGGCCTAGGATGATTTGCAATGCTGGACCTGAAGAAAGACTCAAAGAAGAGTTCCAGACATGCAGGTCACTGCCCTCTTGCTTGTACTAATAGGACTAGGAGACAGCAAACCAACAGAGCCAAGAAGTGGCTAAAAGTCTTGTTACCTGCGTTTGCGGCTGTGTCGTGCCTCAGATTTTATTCTATTTGGTTTTCTTAGCACAGATGCAGCAGTAAGTAGCAACGCCACTCCTTCTCAGTCGTCCTCTATCAATGACATTTCATCCATGTCCACTGAGCAGACACTGGCCTCAGACACAGACAGCAGTCTTGATGCTTCCACAGGAGCCCTTGAAGGTTGTCGATGATAAGTTGGAACAAGCAGACTTGTTATCAGCAAAGGGACTGTCACTTCCATGGTCCTGAAATGTGTGGGAGTCGATGGAACCAAATAGAAAACCCGGTGTTCTGCATGTAAGAAACACGATGCCTTGCCCCCGCTCAGTTCCACTAGGATTGCCTGCTTAGATTATAAGATGAAGCAGATTATGTCTGAAGAAAAAAGCGCAAGCCACACTTTAGAGATTTTGTTCAAGATCATTTCAGGTGAGCAATTAGAATAGATGAAGTTCTTACAAATTGTACGGTGACAGTGGTGACAGTTTCCCATCATGCATAACTGTTGGGTCTTACATGCATGTGACCACAAATGCTTGCTTGGACTTGCCCACCTAGCACTCTGAATATCAGTATTTATATACCAAATAATCTTCCAGTTAGTGTTGCTTCTACAGTGATCTCTTTATCCTCTGAATTAATTTGTTGTCTGTCGAGAAAAAATAGATTTGTGTGTATTAATTGACCACCATTCTATTATCATATCTTACCCTCTCTTCATGGTATGATTTATTCTATCTTTTGTATTTCAGAAGAAATATAATTAAATCTATTTAATAAATAAAAATACAGCTTTTCTTAAATTTGTGATGTTTTGAACTGAGAATTATCACTACTGAAACCAAGACATTTGTACGGGCATTGTTTCCTCTAAATGGTCTGGGACTATAGGTCAGCCGTACTGCATGGTAACATTTTCAATTCTGTTCTGTGCTGCTTGAGAAGCGTACACCTTTGAATTTCTGTCTGTCTTACCTCTTTTTTCTGGGTCTTCTGGACCCCTGGTTAATTTAAAATATTGTCTAGAACTTCACCTTCTTAGTCAGACACACAACACACCATCTCAGCAATATGCTGGCAAATAGATTTCTGAATCTTTTGCCTACTGTTAGGGTAGAGCTTTAGAAAACGGTCTCTGAAGACCATTGTAGTCATGTACCAAGGGCGTCCTCTGCCAGAGCCTGCCCTGTCCGTTATCACTCCCATTATTCCAGGTGAGATGCAAGGTGATTTCACAAAGCATCACCTTCCTTTGCCAACGTCGCATTCTGGCTCAGTTTTCTTTCTTCCTTGAAAGAAGGTGGGTCATTCCCCCTTCGTCTGTTGTAGGAAGCCAGGCTGACTCAGAATGCCTATTTGCTGCTGCTGTTTTCCATTTTAAGGAGGCCTTTCCTTTTCTGCAGGTGAAGCCAGGAATGTTCTGGGAAAACTTTTCAGAGGAGTACAGGGGAAATGCCTTAGAAAGTAGATTCACTGTTGAGTATTTTCTGATTTAAAACTGCTCACCTGAAATTGATACTTTCATACTTCCTGATGTGTAAATTATTAAAAATGTCTTAAGATACTGAGTATTGCGTGTTCCTGCAGAAATGGAGTTATGATTATCACATTTTGTCTATCTGTGCTCAGAATGTTGTTTCCCTTGAGCTTACTTTGTTACCAATTCATATCTTGTGTTTAATTACTTTGAAAGTTATTTGGTCAACATTCTGTAGAATGTGTCTTGAGGAGGAGCTTTGATAAGAAGCTTTATCATGAAAAGCGTATGACCTAAGGTGTATCATTCCCTCTGTACCAGCTGTATCTTATTGGTTGGTCTTACCACTGGAAACTGGAGCCCTGGATGAACAGAATTAATCTTGAAATAAGAAACAGTTTTAGATTGTGTCATTTAGACACTTTCAAATACAAAATGGAAATGCTAACTTGGATGGAGGCAGTAGAAAGGCTTGTTACATAGTTTTGGATTACTTAAATCTGGAGGCCTGCTGTTATAGTTAAAGTTCTCACTATACATCCATAAACATCTTACAACGGCCTTCTCTCTAATACATGTTCTTTTAAAAGACTTCACTAAATCTGTCTTTAAAAAGAAAAAAAAAAGCAAAGAAAAGAGCGTTTAAACTGCGTTGTCTACTGTACGCGGGGTAGAGGCGTGCTGGTGCTGACTCTGGGCAGGTCCTACTTGCCAGGCGATGTCTGTGAGCGGAGCAGGAGCCCAGCACGGTGGCTTTCTGTTCACCTGCTCCTCTTCACATCCGGCAGAAATTCATCACAGATGAAGCCTGTGCTGGTCTCCTCCCAGGACCCTCCCCCATCAGGTAGAGGTGCCTGCAGCCAGGATAGGCACAGAGCTCCGTAGAAATACCTCACCCCAGTTTCAGGGCTCTCCCTCCTGAGCCGAGACTAACCAGGGTCCTGGTGCACCGTGGTGGTTTCAAGCTAATCTCTGTGGGTAAATGCTGACGTTGGATAAAGACTGAAAAATGTGCTCAACTTTTTCATCTTTTCTATTTTATTTTTGTAATTTATATTTTACACAACCCTGGAAGTAACTATTTTGGACTTGTATTTTTATAAACCAGGTAATTTCTGATTATCCTGGCATTTGTACTAGGTTTATTTCTTTTGTTGGCTTAGTTTTCAGTCAAAGAGAAGTGACTGCCTCAGCTGTGTCTGGGTCTGTTTCAAGGGCAGGCGGAATCCTGTCAGGGTAGGAGAGCAGCCAAGAAACACTGGCTGTGCAGTGTCCAGTGGCTTGGGGCCTGCGGATGGAGCCAGACCTTATCTTTGGAACATGAAACTCAGAGCCCTCTGCGGGGGCCAGATCTGAAACACAGAGAGGTGTAGTGGTTTAATGGACTGAGTGCTCTATATCGTGACAACAGTATATGAGTTCACCAGCTGATCTCTGATGTAACTCCTCTGGTATTTCACGCTGATAGTAAATGCAGGTGTGACCTTTCAGAGTGCGTATCTCACAAGTAACATTGCCTAATGTTTTATAATAAATATATTGTGTGTGTTTTGATTGGTGAAAAATAATACAGACTACATTTTAAAAAAGAAACATATATAGCATGTCAAGTTTTGTGTGTTTTTAAGTGATGATTGAGTTTATCTTTCTGCATCCCTATCTGATTAGTCTTAACATGAACATGGGTGGATGTTGGAGTGTCATGATTTCAATCAGAATTCACAAGTGCTTGCAAATTGAAAGGCAAGAATATTCTGTTACTTCTCTTACTGCAGATATTCTGCAAATTTCTGAATCTTAAGTTTGAAAGCAAAGGTGGTAAGTTTTGAGTTCAAAACCATGCAAGTACAAAAGGGAACACTTATTGATGTCATTATTTTCTCACAAGGTGTAACCGGGAGAATCTGCCAATCTGTCTTTACTCATATTACTTAAAATCATTGACAGTGATTGTGTGCTGTGGTTTTGTGCATGGGACGACCTGCTTTTGCCTTGCTTGTAGTTTTGAGCAATTTAATATGTTTGATACTTAAATCCCCTGGCAAAGCGAGGCCCTGCACTGTTCATTTTGTTTTCTCTGCTTAAGGGAACTAGAACCATTCCAGATATATGAGTATCAGTTTTATCTTCAAAGTTCTGTAGATTAGGAAGACTCGACATCTGTCTGGGTTCCTTTTCTCTATTTTACCTACCTCTCACCTTCAATGTAGACAATACCCAAATACCTTTTATTTATCGACTGCAGTGGTACATGTAGATGGTGTGGGGGACTTGGGGGGAAGGGGTGCTAATATTCCAAAGTAACATTGTAACAAAGTAAGATTTTTGTCCCAATCATGTGAAGAATCATGTGAATCTTAAGTATAAGGTTTACTGAAAATAAGGCAGTCAGATGGTGTTTTTCATTTTTATTCAGAAAAATAAGCAAGCAACAAAACCAGTAATAAGAATGGCAAGAGTAAGCCTGGCATGGTGACGCATGCCTATAATCCCAGCACTCCGGAGGCTGAGGCAGGAGGATCGCTGTGAGTTCAAGACCAGCCTGGGCTACAAAGTGAGTTCAGGTCAGTCTCAACTACATAGTGAGACCCTGTCTCAAAAAAAAAAAAAAAACCCAAAACCAAACAAAAAAGAATGACAGAGTAATCATTCACCTCTCCTTGCACCTGAATGTAGCCATGATTTGTGAGGAATGCGTCTGTAACCACCACTGGGTAGGAACTACCTGTATGTCCTCCAGGCCCCAGGACTGCCTGCTCCTCCATCATTTAAAAGGCCAAGGAATGGGCCCCAGGGGTCATTGCTGCTTTCTTTTCTTTGTGTTGGTATTGCAGAATGAGAAGGAGATCTGGAATCCTTTCACCGAATCCCCACCACACAGCTTGAGGAGAGGGACACATCTTGCCTGGCACGAGGAAGTGAAGTGTGTTCTTCACCACAGGCCGCTGCATGTTCTCACAAGTCTTTCTTTGCTCTCTTCTATTCAAAAACACCTTTGAGAATCCATTGGAAACTTCTCCCTAGAAAAACAGCATGAGCACGAATCTTGGCAGACTAGCGGAATCCTGGACCCAGTGGATCCCACATTAAGTGTCCCTCTAGGTGTCGCTGTAGATGCTTCATGCTCTCAGGGAAGCAGAACCTGCCACCTCTCTTCCTAGCTCCGGCACTTTTAACACCGCAATCCTGAGCGTAAATACAGAAGCCGTCGCCCAGGGCTCTAGCAGTAGTCAGTGTTCTTACGTGACGTCAGAAAGAATACAGGGACTTGGTTCTGACGCGGTGACTGTTTCCACGTCCACGTGCTCTCACTATGTACATGGTGTAGGCCGGCCCTGAACTCGCTGTATCAAGGTCTAAGAGGACACCGACTCGGCCGAGGAGGTTGGAGATGAGGTGAGAGGGAAACCAGAGGGAGGGGAGAGCAGGCTGAGGATTCGGGCCAAGTGTTGGAGAGTCAGGGAGACAGATACCTAATATTGTATAAGAAACTGATAGAGAAAATTAAAATTCATCATGAGCTGAAATAAAAGGGAGGAAAAGAAACTGGTGAATTAAACAAAAGGAAATAAAGGCATAAATATGTTCCAATATACCAATGATTCAAATCAATGCAAATACATTTATCAAGTAGATTTGTACTTATCAACAACTTCAAGGATAGTGAACAGATAAAAATCCTAACAGTATATAAAGTTACAAATATTTACCCATAGTGCTCACTTCCGCAGCACATATACAATTATTTACCCATATATGTATTGTGTGTGTATGTAAATAGGTGACAGTACCATGAGGAGAAACAGAAAAACTTGAAGTGTACACTTTGAAGTCTGAATGCACTCCTCTCAAAAACCAAGTCACACAGTTGAAAAGTGAACAAAGATCTGGAAGATTAGAGTTCCATAGTTATGTACCTTGGGCTCATAAGGAACACCATACCCAACAGGAAATTTTATTTTTTTGTACTGGGGATCGAACTTGGGTCCTTGCGCTTGCAAGGCAGGTGGTAAAACCACTGAGCTAAATCCCCAGCCCAGGAAAATTATTTTTGATCATACCTGAACTGAAAGGAAAGTCAACTGTGTAGCATTCCACAGAGGAAGCGCCAGTAAATTCCAAAAGCAGCCTCACAGGACTTGTTTTTCTATAGTAATGTAATGAAGTTCAAAATAAACTTGAAAAGATGTTACACCTAGACATTAAATAAGACAGCATAACCAAACTAGGTAAAAGGAAATTACGAAGAAAAGTAGAAAGTGCATAGCCTCAAAGAACGTGGAACACCATATTTGGCAGGACCCACATAGGGCTTACGTACACTTATCAAAAATGACTGATTTCAAAAAGTGTGTTTAGCATTCAACTCTGGAGATGGACAAAAGCAACAGAGCAAGCCTGCAGTAACAAAAGGAGGAAAACTAAAGAGCAGGGATCAAAAAAAGCAGACCAAAACAAAGCAAAAATGCAAAGAAAAAATTAGCAAAACCAAAAGATTAATAAAACAGACAAATTTCTGGCAATACAGATCAAGAAAAAACTGTAAGTAAATACAAAGTGGAAATGAGAAATAACTGTAGATACAAAAGAAAATTTCACAATAATCTAACAAATGTGATAATCTGCACCAAGCAAATAGATCTCTATAGAAATAGAATCCAAATTTTTGGCTCAAGAACACCTCAGCACACCACCCATTAAATCTGTAGGAGGCTGGCATTATTATTTCCTTACAGTTGGGAGGGCAGAGGCAGGAGAACTGGAACCCTATAGCCAGGCTGTAGAGTTGGGAATCAGGCCACTGTCCATGGTCCTAGCTTCTTTGTGTGCAGATGGAATCCAGAACACTTGAACGGACCCTGACTGTCAAAGGGATGTGTCCCCCAAAGATTCTCCAAGGCACACCAATCTGACAGGTCAATTTTCACTGCAATTTTAGCTTAGTTTGTGAAGCTGATTTCATTTGGATTCCCAAATTGGACAAAGAGGGCAGGGGCTTTAGCTCAGTGGTACCACGCCTGTCCTGCAGGCACCAAGTCATGAGTTAGCTCCCCGGTACCAAAAATAAATAAAACTAAATTGGATAAAGACAGATCAAGAGGATTATATCCCCTTTTGGTAGATGTAAACTGCACTCGTCACTGTGTGCTTTATTCCGGAATGCTAGAGGGGCTCAGTAGTTCCAACAGATGGCCAATTTTTGTTTTTTAAAAGCTGTGTCAGAACACACTGCGTAGAAAAGAGCTTCCTTTGGGGTATTGCAAATCCTATTAGGGAAAGAATGGGAGGAGCCAGTAAATGTCAAGCCTTCCCCGTGGGGACCAGGAGAGGGTGTGCTGAAATCCTACAGGTCATCCTGGAAGAAGGCAAAAACTAGCAGTAAGGAGATGAGGCTGCCAGTTCCCTGCATGTGCATATGGACACGTGACCACCTACACACATGTCCACATGTGTATAAACTGCAGAGCCATACGAGGATAAGGGACTGGGCAAGCGCATTTACAGAAAGAGAAGACCCTTTGTCCTGCCAGCTCTTCAAGTCTAGAAGTAGTCATCAGCCCAGCTAGAGGTAGCACGGCACCCCAGGAGAACCCCCGCCTTCTCTGCACACTCGAGATGCATCGCTCTGCAGAGCCATGCCCATGACTCCAGCTGGGAAATGATGCGTCCCGCTTCGTGCCATGTACTGTTCATTTCCAACAAACGTGCCCTGAGCATCTCCACAGTTCCAGATGCTGACTGGACACCATGCTGTATGCATGACACACAGTCCTTCCTTGCCTTTGGGGACTTTAACACTTCATGGCCATAGTCAGATGATTAAGGCAGCATTGGCGGATGTAACCAAATAACCATAGGAGCCTAGCCTCAGCCTCAGCTGCAGGTAGGTGCTGAGTCAGACGGTGGAAGGAAGCTTCGTAACGGGATCATACCCAGTCCGGAAGCTGAGCGAGACTTCCCTGAGGAAGCGGCAGCTGAGGTGACTGCGAAGAACAAGAACTTCCCCAGGGAAAGTCCCCACATGTTGACTGCACCACTGAGCTCAGCTTGGCTCCTCTGCCCTCTCCCACCCAGTCCTCCAACATGGATGTGGCTGTCCTGGCCCAAGAACAAGCCTCCTGGGGTGCAGCTATGACCATGTCATCACTCCTTACAAAAGCACCCTGGACCCTCTGCACCTCATGCGTGTGCCTCAGATCTGGGTGTCCCCCTGCCGCGCCACCTGCACACACGCCTCCTACACCGTCCGGGTTGCTGGGTGTCACATTAGGATGCTGCGATGCTTGAGACTATCTGTGCCTTTTCACTGGAGGACTTAAAAATGGAAAGTTGGCAATCCATGCTGACACTGTGTTGGGGGAGATACCACTAAGCAAGCGATGTCCTGGATTCCGTTTCCTGGCTTATACACATCTTTTTTGCTTTTCCTAGGATTTCGTTTATTAGATTTCTACTTTTATTTTTACTTTTACTTTCATTTTTTGAAGTCTGTTTATGGTTTTATATTCATGAGTACAACCAAGCCACAGCACACAATCTGTTTCTTGGATGGTAGTTCCTTTCTAAATCAAACATTTAGGGATGGGTATCATTGCGTTGCCTGTAGTCCCAGCACTGGGAGGCTGAGGCAGAAGGATTGCAAGTTTGAAACCAGCATAGGCAATTTAGCAATCTAGTGAGACCCTGTGTCAAAAAATTAAGAGGACTGGGGATGTAGTGCAAAGGCCCAGTAAAAATATAAAAAGACAGAGGAAAAAAAAAGAAAAAAGATATGAAGAGAGAGAAAGAAAGATTGATTTAGGAACTGGGGCCATCATTCAGTGCTAGATAACTTGTATAATATGCTTAAGGCCCTGAGCTCAATCCCTAGTTCTGCAAAAAGAAATACTTAACTCCTGCGTGGTTATAATCAAATGCTTAGTTTCAGTGTTTTATAAGCTACATTATATCAAATGGCTGCTATCAGTGGGAGGAGGCTCTTTTTTTAAACTTTTGTCTAAAATGTAACGCTCTTACAAAAATCGGACTAAGTGGTGAGCTCAGGGCACTTTTATAAGTGGATCACACCTGTACAGACAGTACCACCCACATCCCGAGATGAAACGTGACGTTCACCCCAGAAGCCCTTTATGTCCTTTTGCGTCACAGACCCCCGAGGGTAACCATTCTCTGATTTCTGCCAGCATAGATCAGTTCCGCCTGCTTCTGTGCTTTTTGTTACTAGCCTGCTGCAGTGGGTACTCTTGTCTATGGGTCTCTCCACTTTATTGGATAGAGTTGTAATTAATTTCCTCTTGTTGCCACTGAGGATGCCATAATTCACTTATCCATTCTACTACTGATAGATACTTGGGTCATTTCCAGGTTGAGGCCATTGCGAATAGTGCTACTCTAAGCAGTGTTCTGTCCTTGGTGCTTTTCTGATGGGAGTGGGATTGCTGAGTCAAGGGATATATTCGGCTTTAGTGGTATATTAGCTTTTTTTGTTGCTGCCATAACAAATTACAAGAAATGTAATGAGTGGTTAAAACTAAAGATTTATCATCTGACAAATCCGTGGCTCAGAAGTCCAGGTTGGCTCAAGTAGTCTGTGCTCTAGGCTCGTGAGGCAAAGTGTCAGCTGGCTTGGGTCTTCTGGGGAGATGCTAGGAGGCACTGGCATCCTTCAGTCTCCATTCATTAAATTAAAATGGCCAGTGCCATGTCGTTCAAACTTGTCAAATTCAAAGCAAGACCTTCTACCTCCCTGGGGTATTTAGGAGACAGGAAGGGGACATGAGATATTTAGCTCCTTCCTATATTTTGCCTTTTTTATCCTTTAGGGTCAGAGTGGGGGCGTAAGATAAGGAGAGGCAGGACAGTTACATGCTTGACTGGTCCATCCATCATAAGATGCATTTCAGCTCTGTCATCTTTGAGGATCTCTTTCTAGACACCCCACTCCTGGTATGAGGTTGAGCCTCCATGCAAGGGCTAATCAGGAAAACAAGAACCACTCTAGGTATTTCAAAAACTGAATAGATGGACTTTGTTAAACACGTGCTGGAAGCCCGGGGATTTAGCTCCGTGATGCCACCACCACCTGCCTCGCAAGCGCAAGGTCCTGAGTTTGATCCCCCGTACAAAAAAAAAAAAAAAAACCCACACAACAACCTGTAAGAGGCTGCTACCACACGCTAGAGGTTGAGGAGTAAAGGGAGCATCTCTGCTTCAAGAGCCTAAAAGTTGAGAGGAGGGACCCTGGCCATGGGAACCAGCCTGTGAAGAGAGCGGCATGGCCAGGCTGTGGCGGTCCCATGAAGCTGAGTGTGGAGCCAGCCGCCACAGTTGCAGGAAGGGCCACAGGACATGGGCAGGACAGGATGAGCTCATGCCTCCTGGTCTCGTAGGAGCTCCAGTGCTAAAGCCAACACAGAGCTGGATGGATGAAGAAATGCGTAGTGCCTCTACCCCAGGTGGGGTTTGCAACTTGAGACAGCAGCAGGATGACCAGAGCCAGGAGGTGGAGTCTTTCTCCCCTTTGCCCGGCTTTGTTCACCTCTCACTT